TATTCTCTTCAACAGCTCATAGCTACTATGAAGGTTTACAAAAGTGCATGAAAATCCGATAGATATCGTACCTGATCAAATCATCTTATTCGGAGCTCAGTCAAAGCAATATAGAAACGGAATGATAAGAAATATGAAATATAAAATTTTCAGGTAGACTATTCCGTTTACAAGTCACAAAAGTAACAGCCTAACATTCCCCGTGGTTGTTATTAACAAAGACAACGTATTAGTGTGAATACACCACGGAATTTGTGAGTTTGCCTTTTGAGAAACACGCAGAAATGATAAAGAGATCAGACATCACCTAAACAGCTCTAAATAGAACATCAAACCAAAATGCTTACATTCACAATTATCTATGGAGAGAAGATATTCCGAATGCATCAGTCAATTGATAGCTCATTCATTAGAGTGAATTTAATAAAACTCGACTGTGCCTCGATAAAACGCTATAATTTCTTCATTCAATGAAATCAAACGCCAAAAGTGCTCTCTGATTACAGGAGTTCAGGTTGGCGCTTCTTTCCCGTGAGATGCAGCAGGGTGTTTTAACACTATTCTATTCTTGTGCATGTATATAAACCTTATCACGGGTCTAAATTTTGACTCCGAAAAGAGTGTGGAGAAAAGATCACCGGTGTATAGTATGTACTAACTTTTATGCTGTGATATGTGAATATACGAGTGAACTTATTGATGGTTCAGTTTTAGCTGTCAGAGTTTTAGCTGATTAGGAAGAACCAAGATAACAGCTTTTAATGACAATAAATAGTGATTTCTCGCCCAATTAGGATTAAAAAATATCACTTCTATCTTCATCTTTCATATTCATCATAAAAACATCCGCGGTTTTTCTATCGATATCTGCTTGGAGTGCGGTTTTAAATCACCAATTTCAACTTTAAATCCTGCCTAACATTGTTAACGACGGCTAGGGCGATATGTAAAAGCAGAGTGGGGCTTCGAACAAGGCTGGGATCAAAGCAAAATGAAAGCATTTTGGGCATCGAGATCTGATGGGTTCCCAGATGAGTGATCGTCACTCCGAAGCCGGCTTCGATTACATGCTCCGTTCTTACCTTAACATTGTTGAAATATATCATATCTATTTTCCTAAGAGAATTGAATGGTGAGCAAAAACACGACCTCAGGCGGGAATCGAACCCACGTTTCATCCTAGCCGGAGACTTCCCGAACGTGTTCCCGCCTGGGGTCGTGTTTTTGTTCACCACTCAGTTCTCTTAGGAATATAGGAAGCATCATAACAGTGCGAAATGCACTAAAAATACTATCAATTTCAAGTATATATCATATCTTTAGTTTCGACCAACACTATCACCGACCACCAGCACATACCATTCGTTTTCCCTAGGACCACAGCTCAAATTTGAATAGCCAAAGAGTCATTTGTGAGCCACGCATTTCATGTAGTCAAAAAGGGCTTATTTGAAGAGCCCGATACACGTGTTTCGACATTGCGGTCTCGTCTGTCGGGCAGTTACCCTTTCTCTTCCTTTTCTAATCTCTCTGAGTGCTCCAGTCCCCACACTAAGAGTTAAGTCTAGTCAAGAGCAATCGAGTGTGCAACACCCTGTGTTCGATGATAATTTCACTGGACATCGAGTGTAAAACGTTCGTCGTTGCTAACTCTTAGTGTGGGGACTGGAGTACCCACAGAGATTAGCAAAAGACGAGAAAGAGTAGCTGCCCGACTGACGAGACCGCAAGGTCGAATCACGTCCATGTATTGGGCTCTACAAGTCATGCCTTTTTTAGCAGACCACATGACATGCGTGGCTCAAAAATGATTTTTTGGCATATTGCTGTAACAGTTCTATCACATTATAAAGAACCTCTAGAGTTTTTTTTCCATAGTTCTGAGAGCATTTCAACAAATAGGTTATCGTCAACTTTTAAGCAGCTTTCAGGGGTTTCATCTCTACTAAGGTTCTAAAGGTGTTTGATTAGGTTGATTGAGTGCAATTTCGACCATTAAGACTACTATGTCGGCAGATCGCTGAAGCAGCGGCAGATATTGAATAGAGCTCGTCATTGACACTACTGCTTCTTCACTTTCAACTGTCTATATTAACCCCCTTCAAAAACAATGTTGATCTGGTAATCTGATTTCTTTGTAAGTAGTATGCCTCCCTACAAGAGATCGGTTGAACCTTAAAGTGCTAAACCATTGACGAGTCAGTGAAAGCGAAGCAGATGTCTAATGCTGTGATTTATGACATGACTCGTTTTGAAAGCCACAAACTTGGCTGCCGGTCATTACAATGAAAAGATTTCCATCACCTTGCTTAGGGTAATTTTTTACTCGGCGTCGATTGCTTTGTAGAGGATTATTCAGCATCAGGAGATCGACTAAACCGAGGAATTTGCTACTGATGAGCTCCAATAGGACGAAACAGACGCTTGTATAGACCTAACGGCTCAAAACATGTTATATCCTTATTAGTATACATTGCGTTTTTTCAAACGTACAGTCTTCTAAGCATAACATATATCCAAATACCTATGCCTTGATTTAGTGTTGAATGCAACGCTCGACGATTTTGAGTGAAAATGGAATGAAAAGAGAGGAAAAATTAGTGAACATGATATACTAAAGTATATTTGAATATGATTTACATAATTTCCACATCATTTGTGAAAGACTGCTCTTCTAACACTTTGAAACATAGTGAAACAAACACAGTGCAGTAACAGACAAGACATCTGGCACAATAAATACAAGCATAATATGCATAATTTCCATCATTATTTGTGAAAGAGTGTTCTCCTAACACTTCGAAACATAGTGAAATAGACACAGTGCCGTAACAAACATGACATTTCAGTATTATAATTATCGAGAAACATAACCAATCAAAGACTCTGATAGGAGTATAACTAGTGAGCAAAATTGCTTAGATTGCACTTTATCAATATACTGATCGCATAAATATAATTGACCCTGTTTGAGGACTTGATATCAAAGATTTGAGATCCTTGTAGCATCGCGCTGTAAAAATCAACGATCATAGTTCGAAAGATCGGTCGGCTATATGGCACATTTATAGTGCATGAATGCATCGGCGTATTCGTTATTCTGAGACTGATAAAAAGAAAAATAGCTAGCATTATTCACCGTAAACGTCTGATTCTCATATTAGGTGCACAAATATGACTCAACCGCTTTCGACGGCTCAAATATTCAAGCAATATAATTTTTTTACTAAATTCTAATTAAAGATAACTACCATTAGTAGCGACAACATTTTCCTAATTCGTTGGTAATTTCTAATGCTATCGACGAAAAAATCGGTAAGGAAAAGTGGTAACATGAGGTGTAATTTTCAATTTACTAGTTTGTAATTTTGATTTTGGTAATTTCGATTGTAAATCTGGCTGTGCGATGTCGGAAGAGTGAGGTTGATAAGGTTGAACCTCAAAACCTCCAATTTCATCTCTTTTATGTCATTTTAGAACGGTTCTGCAACATGATGTCGAGTGTTACCATGCAGCAAAATCACTTTGCCGTATCTTACGGTAATTTCCGTCGTTTATTCGCAGTTAATGGTTTAACTGGTCAATTGTCGTTGAAAAATTGTTGCATTGATCGCACGATTTACTATATTTCATGAGCTCGTACTAAAGAACGCCTTTCTGATCTCACCAGTTGTGCACTTGAACTTCTTTTCGTGAATAATCCGCTTTCCAGTCGATTTTGCTGGTTATCCGTTGTCGGTCCATGAACTTTTGCGCTTTTGATTGTTGAAATGCTTCCACTTTTGGTCTTTGCTCACTACTCAATGCAGAAAATTCATCCTTTTTGTCGGTGGCAGCTTTCTTCAAATTGAGCATGAATAATCAAGCTTCTCGCAAATGGAGTTTTCCTGGTACAAAAGTCGTAATCTTCAAAATCTCGTAAAAACCATCATATAATATTCACCTTTCACAATATTTGAAATTGTGGGCTCATCTTAAAGTGCAGCAAGTCAAAATGTGCAAACAAAGACAATGATTCGCTTTGGCTAATGTTTCAACACCTTTGTCTTCTTCGGAGTCAACGATCCTAGTCAGTCATCCTCAGTTGTTCGCCTTTGCTATGTGTCATCATTTTCATCGCCGTTTGAGTCGAATATTCTACGGTGAATCACGCGCGAAAGGTGAAGAAAAGAAAGAAAGAAGTTCTGGTTTCTGAGATTATAGATAGTGATGAGCCATGTAGGGATTCAAGTGAGCATGAACAGCTGAATGTTTATCACAAAAATAACTTGAAAAAATCATGTGTCTAATAAAACATAAAACGGATTGCATGAGAGGAAAGGTCATTGAGTCTTCTAGTGGTTCGTAGAGCGACGGTAATGTCATCGGCAGAGAGCGATTTTGAAATGAAAGAGCAAGTCTCCAAGTAAGCTTACACGAGAATTCCTTTGTGTGCGCAGTTTTGACTTTTGCTTGCTTTAAGCGTTAGTTGTATGGATTCCAGCTGCATTAAGATTTGGTTACCTAAGAAAAATCGCAATCTAGTGATGTACATCTACTGAGAGATTTCTTTGTTTGACTATCTAGCTTTATAAATTTTCTTATATGGCAGATGAATATGCCAGTGGCTATGAAAACCATAAGTCCCCTTATGATCATGATAATAAATAGATGTAATTTGATAAAGTAGAAAATCCCGTCATGACGCCAAAATTTTCAAAGTAACTTTGATAAATTTTGCATGCCTTTCCTTTCACTTGTGCTTTTCTTAAAAACATAATTAATACCTTTTTTGCCACAAAAGTCGGTAACCTCGTGATGTAGAGAAATATGACCTCATGATGTAGAGAGATAAGCAAAACTACTTACATCAGGCGGGGCTCGAACATTTCACTCACTCTATCCTGTGGCGCGTGCTCTGACCCGTTGCACTACTAACGCCCGTTTTGCCACAACTCTCTCTACGCTACAACGCATCTATCTATATTTAATTATTTTTATAGAAAGAGTGAGGCAATACGGCGCCAGCAGTGCAAAAGGTTAGAGCACGTGCTCCCGGATAGGGTGAGATGCGGGTTCGAGTCCCGCTTGCCGCAAAGTTCTGCACGCCACTCTACTCTACATCACTGGATATATCTGAAACATCATACCACCGTCAAAAGTGGACAAAGTAAAAGGATTTAATTTAAGTTGTGATGTTCATCAGCTGTTGCATAACCAGGTAGATGCCAGTTCATTTTGTGCTAACTTGAGAGGCGCATATTAGTTCCGTTTGAAACCCATGCGAGCTTAAATCCCCGAACCTCGTAAGATTACTAAGCTCAATGCAACGACACGTTTCCTATTACCTAAACACTTTCTCTTTAATCTTAAAAGTACCACAGAGGGATAAATATGCCAGGGTCAAAGAGGAGGAGAACTGTCAATAATAACTAGTACAGGTGCTGTTGATTCTTATATGGAAAATATATAAACTATTTCTACCACAATCTATAATTCCATTATTCTTTGGATAACCGAAGTAAGCCTAGTGATCTTCGTTGGTCTGAGCAACGTTCTAGAGGCGCCCAGTGAACTGCTTATTTTAGACACAGAAAGAGCATACTTCAAAATAAAGATTTTTTGCTTCACTGCACTGTTCAATATGAAAAGACAAGTGCAACATTAGGTAGCGCTGCGCTTCGTTCTTTTCTTCGGTTAAGTTGTAGATGGAAATGTCGTACACCTTCTCACGAATGTTGGTCCTCATATAAAGGAGCCTACTTTTTTTGCATGAATTATAAGTGGCAATCCCTTTGCAAACAACAAGGAATGAAGTCGCAATTTGCCTGTTTCCTAGACCACTCTTTTCTTCCAAGCCGACATCATGGAGTAGCATGGGCTGGACATTACTTTGTTCCACTACCAACGACGTTTAGCTAACGGTGATCGCTAATTGACGTCACATCGCTAGACCTGATAAGCAGCCACTTATGACAAGATACTAAAAGTGATATTGATGTTTACCATGATATTTCGGTACCCATCCATACTTAGAAGGCCACCAAACTAAATCGCATACCTTTGTGGATTGTACGGCGATGCGATTTTTGGGTTTCTCTTCAGGTCAATCACGATATCCCTGGTAGATATACTAGTACTTGGAGCGAGATCTAAGTAAACCCAACAGCATGCACAATTTTGACGTCTTTATTTCGGTAAATAATTTCTCGTCATCAGTTATACCATATTTCAATACCTAGAAACACCACCGGGCATAAATTGTGTCGAAAGGTCATTTGATGAAAATCTGATCTAGTTAGTATGCCGTGCAATACGACCTCAACCTTATTTTCAACCGAGATACGAACCATGCATTTCAAGTTCCAAAAAGTTCAACACATACCTCGATAACCGACTGATTCTTTTCACCTCATTTTCCAAACAATCGACTTTTTCATGTAGCTTATTCGATATCAAAGATTGATGACTCACATCAACCCATGTGCAGTCGATGAAATTGTTTCCACTTGACTGAAACATAAGATTTACATAGAAAACTTAAGTTCAAGTCTACCATTTTTTACATTCTGTGCTGTATGAAGCCGCACATTTTGTAACAGTTGCTACAATGTTACAGAGCTCATATGTGAACTTCATAATAGGTTTGAATGAAAGATCCGAGGCACTTGTGAAAAAGTGACAATTTATGCAAGATTTTCAAGCAAGAACAATAATGATAATTTTTAAAAATTAATGCCGTCATTTTCTGAAACTTTGTGCCAACGGTCCGCCAAGTTTTATACCTTGTCGGAGTATCGCTCCTTTGAAATGGAATTAAAGAGCTCTTGATATGCATTCTCAGCTACATCAAACGATTCAAATCAGCGACTCTTCAAAAAGTGTTGCATTGATCGGAAAATGCCGAAGTCGGATGGAACGCAATATGGACTGTAAGCGGGATGCGGCAGGTCCTCGAATCTATTCAATTCATCACACTTGTCCTTAGTTTTCGCTGACAGTGTGCGGTGTGGTATTGTCTTGCTGCATCAAAACGCGCTTTCGGTTGACCACAATGGGATGCTTCTCTTCAAGCAAAGTGAAAATAAATACGAATAATATCTAGGATTTTAGTGGAAAAATGTTACATAAGAAGCTGTAATATTCCCTTGATATGCATGGGAGTTATCTCATGCTTATCAATGTGCCCCACAACTTTTCTTCCAATCGTAGTAGGTGATAGTCAGAAAAAGATTATGATTGAATTACGAACCACAGGACAAAGTGTACAATTCAAATACGCCGGATTTTTCGTAATTTTTATTCCGGAAACAGATTTTTGACCGGGGTTTTAGCGGTCTTTTGAGAACATAGTAGATTTAGAACATCCTGTACTTTGGTTTTTAGGTGGGCCTTGTCGTTGAGCTGTAAGAGTTTTCTTGAAGTTTTTAATGAGCAAAACTTTTCTACCGGGCTTTCTGTAGTCATTGATTAGCTTGAGTGACACAGACTTTAGTACCTAATATTCTGAAGCGCTTTCTCAGTGCGCTGTGTGTATGAAGAGAATATTTTTTTTTGCTTCCAAATACTTAGCTCGCTGTTTTGATTTACAGTGCTAACATAAAGGCATTTCTAGCTACATAGAATGCTCATGCACCTCGAAATTATGACTTAATGAATGACGAATCTCTACTTCCAAGAAAAAACGATATATTTTTTTTATCGTCGATGTTGCAAAACTGTAACTCAGAAAACATATGACTTAGAGTGTCGTGCCTTTAAAAAAGAATTCTACGGGAACTTCTCAAGTGTGATGCCAAAATAAGCGAAGAACAAGCGCGTATTCATTGTTGTATAGAGTAGTTCTTTGGAAGGATTGAATATTGCTGAGCTAAATTTATATAACATTCCACTGAAGGTGTAAATCATTTGCCTATAATATCTATTTAATGAAAAAACGGCCGAAAGGAAGCCGAAACTATTCTCATCGGCCAACAATTTACTTTTGATGCATAGAAGTTGCACTTTTACATAATCAGCAGTTGGTAGGTCTCAAAACAATCAACAGTTAATATATTAGGTTAAGGAAAAAGTCCCCAACACCAGCTGAAAATTCGAAGTTCACATATATTGATTAGAAACAACAATAATTATTTTTTGAAATATCGTCTGCCAACAATCTGCAAGCTTCCGGATTTGCTTGAAGTCGTCATTCATTGAGCTTTGAATTAAGAAAAAACTCCCGAAGTGCCTCTTCAACGTCGTCAAATGTCTCGATTCGGCGCCCACGCAAGAAACCTTCCATCAAGCGGAACTGGACCGTAATCAAACGGCGCAACATCTGAAGTGTATACTGAGTGCGGCAAGACCTCGACTCAGTCCAAGTCATCAAACTTTTGCTTAGTCATCTCTGAGGAGTGAAGTTAAGTATGGCATTGTCTTACTGAATTGGCGCACGGTTTCGAAAACGAACGAAACTGAGATCACCACTTTGTGATTGTATCACTTTGCTACAGTCAAATGGGACACACTCCCTTCACCTTTGGCTCCACAGATCTCCTTCGCAGCATCTCTTGTCAAAATTTTTCGCTTCCAGCAATAGCGTATTATAGCTCAAAAACTCAATTTTGTCCACCGTATTCATTCGATATCCGAAGAGTGAATCAAAATTTGATGCGTCATAACTAGCGTTACTGCGGAGTTTTTTACAGAAATATTCCTGAGATATGCTTGAGAGTTATGTTCGAGTCTTGCATGTGATCTGTTATGAACACATATGCACTGCACACAGTGCAATACACGTGATTCGGCCTTTTAGCCTCGCACTTTCACGGTGCCTTTCCGTTTCATCAGTTCCTCAAAAATCTATCTCTTACATAGAGAAGCCGCATACGAATTATGCAAAACACGCCATTAAGTAACAATATTACCGATCATGCAGTGTTGCACACTCGACCACGTGCGTGACTCAAAAATAACTCTTAGCCATACGGAAATTTGAGCGTGGTGTCAAAGAAACACGCGGTACAAGAGGTGTAATACTCTTTAAAGATTTCTGTGAATTTACATTAATCTATACTGTGTGAAACAAACATATATTTAGTCTATACTGTGTGAAACAAACATATATTCAGTTATTTCTTATTAAGAAAGGATAAATGAAAAACCGACCTCAATCGCTGGAGAAGAACTTCACGTAGGAGTGTTAGGAACTATTCAAAAGTCAAGACTTTAGACTATAGCCTCACGTCGCCGGTTTTTCAAGACATTTTTTCATAACGCTGTGGCATCTAGATCAAAATGTATGTTTCACACTCGCCTTTCGCCTTCATTTTTATCACGCGTAGAATTCGATGGAAACCGCAAAGCATCAAATCAACGGTAAAGAAATTTCCCTAATATCTCAAAAAACCACTTTATTTAGAGCTTTTATTCAGAACGGAGGAACAATTTCTGAAGTGAATGATAGTATATCCGACGTCTTGCCTCGCCTCGCCCCTGCAGTGCACCCACCCACGGATCATGCTTTGCCGAATAGCCGGTAAGCATCGTAGTGAAAAAGGTAAAACTCGATCTTATTTTCCCAGCTAAATCGTATTTCCTGTAGATAAGCACATCTCTAGAATCAGGAAACGTTACGCTATTAGATAATTACTAAGTTCAAAGAAAGAGCTTTGCCCGGCGAGGTAATGAGTACAAATCAAAACACCAAAGAGGATCAATAGATCAAGAAAACTTTTTGGAGAGCAAACACATTTTTGAGCTCTTTAAATCTTTTGCTGTAGTTTGAAAAGTAGCGCTCTGATGGAGGAGTTTTGTCTGGCAAAATATAAACGACATAAGACAAAAAACACATGCATAATGGAACATGATTTTGATTTGAACCTTACACTTCTATAGAGGGGTGTTCGAAAAAACCTGCGACGACTGGGTGTAGCCTAAAACTCTCATGTGCCAAATGGTTAGTAACGCTTCTTTGAAAAGAACCTCTCCAGCAAATGAGATCAATTTTTCATTTGCCCTCTTCATTCCAGAGAACCTGAAATTTTAAATTTTTTGCGGGTGGTAAGGAACTTTTTCTTCAGCCTCGCACAAACCATGATTCAGATGTCTAAGG